GCTGGAGCTGCTGCTGCTGCACCGGTCCTCGTAGATGGATATTTCGATCTGGGCCCTGCTAAGGATCATCGGTGGGATGTGCCAGCCGCAAATCCATTTGCCCAACATCCACTCCCAGTGTCACCCCACCCTTTGCCTCTGTCACCCTCCCAGCACCCCGCTGCCCAGAGGATACAACCCTCATGCCACGCTCCAGGGGGTCGGTGAGCAACAGCCCCCGTGGTGCATAGATCTTCTCATTCTGCTCCTGAATATACTTGGAGATCTTCTTCAGGACCTGCTGGCACACAGGGGGACACTCAGGGCCTGCCAACACTGCTGTCACCTCTGGCCTCCTCCAGCCCCGCTGCTCCCTGTGCCATCCCTATGTTCCCCACCAGCTGTGCCCGCCCCCAAGCCCTCCCCTGGACCTCAACACCTTCTCATAGTGGGTCTCCATGCAGAGGAAGATGAAGTAGGCAGTGGCGCAGGCCAGGCATCCCTCCAGGTATGAGCTGCCCCCAATCTTCTCCGCCTCAGCATAGAAGCCATTAAGGGTTTTCACAGTTTCCTCGAAGAGCTGCCGTTCGATCTAGAGCAGAAACCAGGTTGCAGAGGAGTCTGGGCAGAGGCTGACCCCCTGCACTGCCCTGTCCCTATCCCTGAGGTGACTCAGGGAGCACGACACCCTCTCTTCCCTGACCAGCTGATGTGTCAGCTCCCTGGCTCTGCCCACCTCCCACACATGCAGGACCTTCTGAGCCTACAGCCCTTCACCAGAGCCTCCCGGTCTACAGGAGTATCCAAGCCCTTGCAGACTGGGCAGGGCAGCAGTGACTGCATATACTCAACAGCATCAGGGCCATACAACACTCCATGAGTGCCCCATGCCTTCAGACCCCTTTGCCCCCTGAATTCCCATAGGGTACCCCACACCCTGTTGGCCTGCCAGGCTCCCTACCCGGCTCTCCAGCTCAGGGGGAAACTTTGTCTGGAACTGGCACGTGGTCCCATCGCTGTAATCCCGCTGCACGAAGACCTTGGTGGCCAGGGATGCGCTGCGCCGCAGCTCCTGCAGGCTGTGCACCTGGAGGGCAGTGGAGTGAGCTGGGAGGGCCACAGCTACAGGGTCTCAGGCATCTGAGGACCCCAGGAGCAATGCCATTTCCCCAGCATCAGGGCATGAGGGCTGCAGGCCCAGCTTGCGTGGCCTCGCCTGCCCCGGCTGCTGCACACATGGGTGCACGTCCCCAGTGGTCCACAGCATCGCGGGGGGACACACAGCCCTCTGTCCACAGCACACAGCCACTGCAGCAGCTCCCAGGCAAGAGGAGGGAAGCGAGCGGAGCAGGAGCTGGAGCCAGGCAAGGGGTTTGCAGTGGCTGCACAGCTGCTGTACATAAGGGATGGGCAGCCCCAGCAGCGAGCATTCGGTCCAGCCCTGCAGGGTACGAGGGCCTACGCCAGCCGCCCCCGGGAGGGGCCAGCTTGTGCCAAGGGTGGGTGTTAGACCCCTCCCTGTGCTTCTCTTGGGTGACATGAGGCCATCTCCCGCTGCAGGCCCACAGATCCTGAGGCTCCCAGACCCTGAGGCCCCCATCCTGGGTC